TTTAGTGGGAAAATAGAGAGAGAATGTATAAAGAACATTTGTTAAAACTGAATCGTAATTTTACGACGAAAGTGTGCTGTGTTAGTTTCATCAAGTACATTTTTTGTGCATTTTTTTCCGTGCACTCAAAAAGTTCGCTTGTTTATAGAATCCTCTGTTAAAATGTAAATCTTTAAAAAAATTAATGAATTTTTACGACTTTAGCGCTGCGAAAAAGCTGAAGAGGCACCGGATATGCCGTGTCACCACGAGGTCCATGGTTCCATCTGCCCCAAAACCTACATTTCAAGGAGACGTCAGTGGCCTTGAGGTAAGTGCCACTGTAAAAAAAAGTATTGTGATTTTACGAAATCGATACCTTAGACTAAAAGGCACGCAGCTCATCCGCGCGTTTCGAAGGGCACGCAGTTCAGCCGCCCGTTTCGAAAGACACGCAGTTCAGCCGCGCGTTTCGAAAGACACGCAGTTTACCGCTATAGAGATAGGAACTGCGTGTCTTTCGAAACGCGCGGCTGAACTGCGTGCCCTTCGAAACGCGCGGATGAGCTGCGTGCTTTTTAGTCTAAGGTATCGAAATGTTCTTGGTTGGTTTTATGGAACGTAAACTCCGTTTGTAACCAATTACGATACATCGTTACTTTACAAATTGATTTGTGAAATCCATAGCACTAAGTAAAGGGGAATTGAATTTGTGTTTCTTTTTTCAAATGTTATGACTTATGACCCAAAACTTTCCGTTCATTACGAATTCGATGCGTCCTTATACAAAAATGTCCTACCAGCAATATGCGGAATACACAATGTCCTCTCTGCAGAGCGTCCAAATAGACAATGTTCTATCTGCAAAACGCGGGTTTCGGGTTACCTCCAAAGAAATGCTTATTTCTCTGTATCCGCTCGTTCTACTTCACTCTTTACAGTCAATAATTGAACTTCGGACCTTTACGATTCTTTCCGTGTGCGCAGATTAACCTTGATGTCCTTCCACAAAGGTGAAGGGCTGCACCCAACCCCGTTTTGCAGATAGAGCATTGTGTACTCCGCACGCTTCAGATAGGACATAGTGTATTCCGCACGCTGCAAATAGGACATGGTTGTTAGAACGCATCGAGTTCACTGATGATATGACAAAAGCACGTAAGTCCACTTTAGCTAATTTTTCAGGAGAGCCAAAAGTGTGTCTAATTCTAGTCTGGCTGCTACAGTTTTAAAGCTAGATTGCTGTTTCCTTCACAGAATGTTTTGTTTAAGGATGCTTTACATTTCTGCGAAACATATGTAGCTCTATCTCAATTAGATCAGATTTTAGTGTGACTTATGTGTTTTGACACCCCCTTGTGGGTCTGCCAAAGGAACGTAAGTCCATGCATGAGCTGACAAAGGAACGTAAGTCCACTAGTGGGATCTGACAAAGGAACATAAGTCCAGGTGTAGCTTGACAAAGGAACACAAGTCCACCAACAAGATTTGACAGAGGAACATAAGTCCAGGTGTATAGCTTCACAAAAGGATGAGATATTTGTTATTTATCCAAGAGTCAACCTTGACATGTGATGCAACAAATTATGGATTCAGCACTTCTGCTTCAGATTCAGTGTAAATAAGTGAATTGCCATCATCGTCATCAGATGCAGTTTCCCTTCTCGTCCTGCGGGCTTGCCTTTGGTTGGTGACATCTGTAAACAAAATACAAAATTGTGTATTACGAAGCAGTCTTGTAAGCTGGAATCTTTGGCTGAGATTTGATGTATTTCTAACACAGACATCCAAATAATCAATATGGTACATTGAATTGTTATTTACCTGGCGCTGGCTGTACGACAGGAATCTCCACCCCCAGTTTTGAAAACATGCTCTTAACTTGTCTTGACATGGTATACCTATAGCATAAACAAACAAAAAAAGGGCAATATAACAAACTTGTGGGGCGGAAGGTTAAGTTTGAAACAAAGAGGAAAGGGCAAAAATCAGTTTGCAATAACAAATACTGAAGTAGATATTTCCACAGTAAAACAATCAGATGTTAAAGACGGACATCAATCAAAGGAAAGAAAAGGTTACAAACGTATGAGATCTTGCTGTCCAGCGCTAATCTGACAAATCAGACGTGTGCCAGTTCAAAAGAAACCAGGGAATTGCTACCTCGCTGTAGTCCTACTGAAATACTTAGCATGAAATACTTACCAAACGTCTTTGTTGTTCGGATAAAATAATGACGCGACCGAGGTCGATGAACTGATGGTCTGAAACCACCGAAAAGGCGGCAAGCGGCGTTGCCCTACCGTAGCAAGCTGTCAGCAGCAGCACTAACCAACAGCTACTAATTTCTCAGCGCGTTTCATTCTTTTCCGAAGACTAAGTTTGACGCCCATGTTCTTATACTACCATTCATATGAACTTTCAGTAGTTATTTAATTTTCATTCCATCAAAATAACTAAGTGTTGTCATTTCTCGAATTGATTTAGAAAGTTACATTTTGTGATAACTGGGTTATTCACGGTAGAGTGCAAAATTAGCCTTTCAAAATTTTTACAATTTTTTCGTGTATAATTTCCATTTTTCTGCTTTTAAGTGTCAGGGGCACACTTGCCGAACGACCGGAAAAGCCTCCGCAAAAACTACTCGGTGAAAGTATTGTTTTAGAAGTTTTAAAAATACGTAGTGCTCGAGAGGTTGGGTTGGCCGGGGAAGCTCCAAATATATTTCCTAAAATATCACTTTTGGGTCATCGGCCAACTGACAAGACGTGGCGCTATGGCACAGCAAGCAATAGAAAACATCGGCAACGAATTTTATTTTTATATGTATTGCTACTTTGGTTTGTAACCTGGTTGAGGTTAGAGGACGGCACTCTCGTTCACACATTATACGATGTATAGGCAATATTTTAGTGGGAAAATAGAGAGAGAATGTATAAAGAGGTAACAATACTACTTCCTTTAATTATCTGGACCAAAATAACGTTTTAATGTGCAATTTCATAAAACTTTCGACGAGCGTGATGATGGAGTTGACGTCAACTCCGTCACACCGTACACCAGATAAATCACTTTAATAACACAAAAGAGGGCAGAAAATCGGTAACACGGATGTTCTTTAGGTAGAATAGGTGATTCTACATCATTGTTAGCCTAAACACGTCCTGTTTACGGCTAGGTATTGAAAAAATATTTGTTAGAAGAGGTTGCCCACAAAAACATATGCTCTGAAACTGAACATATTTTGTGTGTTGAGAAGAACATGAGATGACGCAAACTCTCGATCTGGGCCAATTTGTTCCTCAAATTGGTCGATTTTCATGTTATTTTCATGAGTTTTGTTCTACATAACCCCTTTACCTGATAAATCTACACCTATTGTCAACTCCGTCACGCTGAGGTTTAGATTCGGGGACACGGTTTTCTTAGTTGTTTCAGGTAAACTGGAGAATGAAACACAATAACGATGTACACATCTTGTAGCTCGTCGATTTAATTATTGATTCCAACCGTTGTAAGTATTAAATACCTTCACAACGAAACCAAGGAAGGAAAATAAAGACGCCAGCTTGGGGCGGGGACCGTGAAGAAGTTGACATTTAGCTTACTTTAATTGAATTTTCTTTTAAATTTGAATAAAAACCTGTCGTTTTCGATCGGGATTATATAGGTGGGAGGTAAATACAGCCTTAGACATGTGAAGTTCCGAACATTTCATCCAGAAATATCGAATTTATCCTCGAAGACACGATTTTGCACTCTATCGTGGAATCACCCAACTATTAGCGAAAGGGTTCAATGACCCTGCCACCGCTACCTGTACTACTAGCAAAAATGTAGAGAAATGGAGAAAGTTCTTGGCAGGTATAGTAATCTTGTGATAGTTCTGTCTAATTTTAATAATTTTAAGAAGAATACCTAAGCAAGTTCTAAGTTTCATACAGCTTGTTGCAATGTAGTGCCGTAATGATTTTTCAATTATTTTTTTCAGATTTAAAGAACTAGTGTCAGAGACAGTGCCACCAGTAACCTCATGTCTTACTGCTTCTGATTCTTGTTAGTTTGCTTTAAATACAAATCAAAAATATGACGCGAAAGGATAAAATAATTACGATTGAATACAAATTTCCATTTGCTTACAGCTACTCAGGTGACTCCTGCCAAGTCTGAGCCACCATCTGATGCACAAGTCAGTCCCATTGTAGGTGGAGGCATTAAAAGGCGTCTAGCTTTTAAAAGAAAAGAGGAGAATAAATGCTACAATGTTCAAAATTTTGGAGACGAGGACGAAGATATGCTAAACTTTGAACCAGGCAGTAATAAGTGGGAATGCCAAGAAGACCTATTGGATACTAGGTAAACAACTTCCTTATATTATATCATACATAAAATCTGTGTTGCGATTTCACTCCTGATAGCTTCTTTCTACCAATTTCCTATTTCCTTAGTGACCATGAATTACCTGACCTAAATTCTACACTTGAGAGGATTAAAAGAGTGAAAAACTGGGGTGGACTTCGATTGCATACTTCAAAAGTGAGCTCTAAAATAAGAGGAGCAGAAAGGCGTGAGTTGCCTGGGCAGCCTTGTGACCAGTGTGAGGAGGTAGGCACATATGTTGGCTGTCAGCAAATGGAGAATAGAATGTAATTACATTTAACTATTATCTAATTTTATTTCAGTATTATGATGCTAATGGTTTTGGGACTGAAGTGAGAAATAAATGTCGAGGCATCGATGCACCCATCGAAGGGTACCAAGTCCAAAAGGTAGCTGTCCGATCAAAGTTTGTCCAAAAATCTACTATTATTTCTCAATTACAAAAAATTCACTTTTACAGGCTATTGGGATTTACATCTTGACGACTATAATACAGACAGGTACACTCAACATGACAAAAGTGATACTGATTAAGTACTTTCAAGTGTTTCAACCCTAAGATTGGTATTGTAATTTAATATGTGTAAAGTTTGTTTTTAATAAAAGTTAGGTGTCTTAGAAATGTATACTTTTGTAGTTCTCTCTTTCATTGTGTTCTTTTCTAAATGAGCAGAGAGCTTTGTCTTCATTTCATATTGTAACATTATCTCATTTGTTATTAGGTAAGAGCATGAAATTATTGACTTTAGAGATCAATTTATGGATTCCTTTATTCTTACTATTGCTAGTCTAATTGTGACCTGTTCGTTCATGTATGAAATGTTTTGCTGGATCTATTGCATGTCTTTGCTTATAACTTTAATTCATTTCTCTAGAATCTTTACACCCAGCATATTTCTGGTGTTCCCCATGAATGCAAGGGCACAAAGCATCTCTTTCTGAGGTAGATGA